GAGGGTCTAGTCCATAGGTGGCGAGGAGGTGGATTGTGTGGCATCAAACCCTGATGCCTTGAATAGAGAATGTCCCATCTCGACAGCCCATGGAGCTGGGGACCATTCACAGAGGGTCTAGTCCATCGAGGGGCTCAAACGAGGAGGCTGATTGTGTATCATCATACCCTGATAGCTGGAATAGAGAATGTCCCATCTCGAAAGCTGGGGACCATTCACAGATGGTCTAGTCCATAGATGGCGAGGAGCTGGATTGAGTATCATCATACCCTGATAGCTTGAATAGAGAATGTCCCATCTCGAAAGCTGGGGTCCATACACAGATGGTCTAGTCCATAGATGGCGAGGAGCTGGATTGAGTATCATCATACCCTGATGGCTTGAATAGAGAATGTCCTATCTCGAAAGCTGGGGTCCATACACAGATGGTCTAGTCCATAGATGGCGAGGAGCTGGATTGAGTATCATCATATCCTGATGGCTTGAAGCACTGCTCATGCTTTCAGTCATTGGGATGATGAGGTTGTGTTAATAGCCTAGCAGATAAGGCATTTGCTTGACATTCTAATGGTCCATGTTTGATTCCCCAATGTGTGAAGTCCATTTTGGTGTTCAACGGTACGATATTGCTTGAATATTGTTAGAAGTGGCGAGACGATACTCATTTTCTCACTTCAATTACTTGTGTGTCTGATCCGGACTTGATTATGTACAGTTCACCCTGATATTGCTGGTAGGGGGACGATACACTGATGCATTGATGGATCATAATTACTTACTTCTTGATAAAAATACCAATCACAGTTGCACACTAAGTAAAAATTATCGATTCTTACCTTATATGTTTCCTTGTACACCAAAAACTAATTAGTAGCGAAAATGTATACATTTTCATCCATTGCACCATACTTGACACAGCGAACTGTGAATTGCAGTGTGCCAGGTATTTGGCCATCCTGTCTATGAAAAATATGGCTTACACACCATTGAGAAGTGCACATGCAAGTATCATGATACATATAGGATCATGAGCAGTGAAAGTATCGTGATACGTATCGGATTGCACAGTTGGTGTAAAACTGACTGGAATAAACTGACTGGTACCAGACAACACACAGAAAAGACATATTTCCCTTATTCTGATTCTGGTTTGGAATTGGCCCCCAGCAACCTATTCTTGTCAGTGGTGTTTTAATGGACCAGGTGGCGAGGCTCAGAGACTTGGCAAATTGAATGTCACTGTACCCGCAAGGCATCGATCAGTGCTCACAATATCAATCTCTGGATTTTCTGGTCCTGGCATGCTGTCATATAGCTGGAATAATGCTGAGTGGTGTTAGACAACAAGACCCTCATGGCAATCACCAGCAGCCATCTTGAGTAACCTAGAAGTACAGAACAAACCCAGGTTGCCGGAGTTGGCCATCAAAAGTCGCCACCATGAGCAACCATAACCACAGAAGCTCCATAATACAGGCTCCATATAGTAGGCCCCGTACAGCAGGCTCCATACAGTAGGCTCCATACAATGCTGCCTACACACTACAGGATCTGTACACCAGGCTCCATACAGTAGGCTCCATACAATGGCTGCCTACACACTACAGGATCTGTACACCAGGCTCCATACAGTAGGCTCCATACAATGCTGCCTACACACTACATGATCTGTACACCAGGCTTCGTACAGTAGGCTCCATAGAATGGCTGCCTACACACTACAGGATCTGTACACCAGGCTCCATACAGTAGGCTCCATACAATGCTGCCTACACACTACAGGATCTGTACACCAGGCTCCATACAGTAGGCTCCATAGAATGGCTGCCTACACACTACAGGATCTGTACAGCAGGCTCCATACAGTAGGCTCCATACAATGCTGCCTACACACTACAGGATCTGTACACCAGGCTCCGTACAGTAGGCTCCATACAATGGCTGCCTACACACTACAGGATCTGTACACCAGGCTCCATACAGTAGGCTCCATAGAATGGCTGCCTACACACTACAGGATCTGTACAGCAGGCTCCATACAGTAGGCTCCATACAATGCTGCCTACACACTACAGGATCTGTACACCAGGCTCCGTACAGTAGGCTCCATACAATGGCTGCCTACACACTACAGGATCTGTACACCAGGCTCCGTACAGTAGGCTCCATACAATGGCTGCCTACACACTACAGGATCTGTACAGCAGGCTCCATACAGTAGGCTCCATACAAAGGCTGCCTACACACTACAGGATCTGTACACCAGGCTCCATACAGTAGGCTCCATACAATGGCTGCCTACACACTACAGGATCTGTACAGCAGGATCCATACAGTAGGCTCCATACAAAGGCTGCCTACACACTACAGGATCTGTACACCAGGCTCCATACAGTAGGCTCCATAGAATGGCTGCCTACACACTACAGGATCTGTACAGCAGGCTCCATACAGTAGGCTCCATACAATGGCTGCCTACACACTACAGGATCTGTACACCAGGCTCCATACAGTAGGCTCCATACAATGGCTGCCTACACACTACAGGATCTGTACACCAGGCTCCATACAGTAGGCTCCATACAATGGCTGCCTACACACTACAGGATCTGTACACCAGGCTCCATACAGTAGGCTCCATAGAATGGCTGCCTACACACTACAGGATCTGTACACCAGGCTCCATACAGTAGGCTCAATACAAAGGCTGCCTACACACTACAGGATCTGTACACCAGGCTCCATACAGTAGGCTCCATAGAATGGCTGCCTACACACTACAGGATCTGTACAGCAGGCTCCATACAGTAGGCGCCATACAAAGGCTGCCTACACACTACAGGATCTGTACACCAGGCTCCATACAGCAAGATGAGTCGGCAGTCAGTACAGACCAAGATGGATTCAGTGACCTTTCAGTTTCAAAAAGTTTATGAGCCTTCTAGAGATGTGAAAACCCAGTGATGTACAATTCAGTTGCATCCCTAAGGTGGAAAAATAACACACAAGTAATTTATTTATTCCAAGCTGGACAACCAATAAACCACCATGTAAAAACCGCTTTGGTGGGAATAATCAAAATCTATGGCCTTTGAAGCTGAAGATAATGGGGTTTTCATTTTTTCAAAGCTTCCCAATAAAAATATGAATATTCCCCTTGTGTTCTGATCTGTCATGAAGTCGTCGTCTCTGCACAACACAGACAGATCAGGCCTTCTCTGAACAACATCAGCAACCAGCATCGCGTTCTCGCTTAAGTCACAAGAGAGGCAGATTTATTAACAGCAGTCTTTGAAGGCGTGCAAGCTTTTGGTGAACGGATTAGTTTCCCGATCAAGATGAACGCATTTCCATAACTGCTTGTCAGCTGGAGCAGCCATGTTCTGGTTCTTCTTGGTCAATTCTGTGGAAACGCTGGTCGGAGTATTGGTGGAGCCATTTACCTTGCTGCGATCACCTTGTTTATCACTTCTCCTTGACGTCTGCTGGGACCGAGTAATTGTGATCCTAACCTCGCGCCGTGGGAGAGAAAATTGAATTTTGTGAATATTCATCACCTTTGACCGCCTTCCGTGGTCGAGACATGGAAACGAGCTCATATTAAAAGAAATTAAATTAATTCTGTGATGGTGAATTACATGGTCTGCGTCGATGTGACATTGTGCAGTATCTTAGATTGTCAAGGCGCAATCCATCTTGCATATTTTTATTAAAAATTGAAATCTCAAATTCTCAGTAATTTACCATGCTTTGACAGGCCAAAATATTGGTACTGTGGAAATTGAAAGCAGACAAATTAACATATAGATATATGTGAGTGTTTGGATCAATTCTGTTGTGGACCTAAATATGAAGCGTGGAAGAGTTAGTAAATCTAGCATATTGGCTTGTGCTGCGGCTGAATCATTTTAGAAGTGTGATAGTTAGATGTCTACTTGGTTTTTAAAATTCTGATAATCAGATGCATTGAAACAGCTATTGGTTGCTTGTATCTGTCCAGACACTTTTTTATCCCTTGTTCTTTTCTAAAAATTGCATTTAATCTCCATATTTTAATCATAACTTTCCGGTAATTGCATTCCATCTATGAATTTCTTGATATTAATAAATGGACAGATCTTTCTGTTTTTCGAAATCCACATTAAATATATTTTTTATTAATGCCACAGACGTCAGTACAAAATTTTCTTAGTCACAGAATAATGTTTGAATATGACAATGAAATCCATGACTCATATAGCTTCAACAAGTAATACACACGTTATTAATAGGTTAATAATACAGTAAGTTTTATTAGAACAGATTCAGTTTGTAGAATACTCATATTTCATAGTTCTAATAACAGCAGGTCATTTAATATTTAACTTAATTACAGTGTTTGACCGACACAAAGGGTTCTTTTTCAGTTTTTATAATCCTCATATCATATAGTACTAACAGCAAGTCATTTATCATTTACTTAATCACAGCGTTTGATAGTCACCTTTCAAAATAGCAAAACCCCAAGCTCAGCTAGATATACTGTCATAATCCTGTTGTCCCCCTTGCTCTAATCCATTGTCCCATAAAAACCTAATCCATCCCCCGCCCTATGTACTCAATTCAGACATTACGGCCAGTGAGGGACCAACACTCGGTGATTAGCAGTGTGAACTCGGGGCTCATAAGCGCTTCATTAAGTCCACCAAGCTCCGTCTGGACTTGCTAATCACTGGCTATTTGGCCAACAATACATCTTTTCTCCCGGGGTGGAAATTAGGGGCGGGATTAGGGAGTTACAATCTCCCAGTCGTCTCCAGAAGAGCCAGCATTGGCTGGCCCATACAGAAGCCGTTTCTTTATGGCAAGCTAGTTCTTTTTGAAGATGAATATCATTGAATAGAACAATGCCAAATTACCATGAGCTTCTTGCTATGTCTGAAACTTCAGCACGACTGACTACCAGTGACTTCTGGCTGGCTGTCCTTTGAAGACTTGTCTGGTAAGGACAGGTTGATTAAACGGGGTCCGGCCTAGTTGTAAAGTCATTGAGAGACAATACATCTTGTTGTCCCTTAGGGCAAGCACCTGGGTGTCTACAAGCGTGTATCAGATCATTGATTTCTATCTACATGGTAGGCTTTCCTAGCCTGGAGGATATTGTGTTTCGGGATTCAGAGTTGAGGAATTGGGTAATATGTGGGTTGGGGCTTGTTCCTAATCCTTGCTACGGATTACCTGACTTTTGCTGTACAGATCCTAGTAGCCGTGGAAGCTAGTCTTTTTGGGAATACATTTGATCATACTGTGTTGTCCAGACTTGGTGCAGTTGTGGATTATTTTTGGGTAAGTATTATTATTTGGAAGTATGATATCATATTGTCTGTGTGTTTTCCTGAGAACCAGTTAGGTTTATCAAGTTTAAGTAGTTGTCTGGGAATAGGATGAAATGTTAGTGTGAATGTTGAACACTACACATCATGTTAATATGTTAATATTATAATCTATCCAACTACCTTCACCCCCCCCCCCAACCTGGTAGTGCCTTTTTCCTTCACCACCCAACTGCCCCGTGCCCCACCCCTTTAACATACAACTCCTTACCCCCCAAACCCCCTTTACCATCCCAGTGCCTTTTTCCTTCACCCAACTGCCCCGTGCCCCACCCCCTTAACATACAACTCCTTACCCCTCCCCAACTCCCCATCCAACTCCCCAACGCTTGACCTCCCCTTTCCCATTCAACTTCCCCCACCCCCCAACATACATATATATGTGTACATGCATGTTAAATTCCATAATCCCCCAATTATCATATTTCTAATTTATTTATTTTTTTTATGTTGTTTTGAGATGTAATTTGTGGAGTGGGACTGTTGGGTCAGATTTGTTTCAGCGATATTTGTAAAGGTTCTAAAGAAATATATCATTTTAAACCTTGGTGTCTATTTTGTATGCCTGTTTTTAGATCAAAGAAAATGGTTCAACAGAAGTAATTATAACACTCCCTACAGATAATCTTATGATGTTTGTTGTAGTGAAATGTTTGTCAATAAACATGCACCTAATCATCAAACTCATATATCATGTGACAGCTGTAAAAAACTTTATACCTCTGTGTCTACAAACAATTACATATTTTCTTTTTTTTTGCTACATTCTTATTTTGTCTTCATGCATTCAGCCTTATCAGACTATTTCGATGTCAAATCAACAAATCAACAAAGTATGTCATTATAAAGACATAAATTCTCCATTGCCATTTGTCCGAGAACACATTACACATGTCCCAGGATTCTAACAAGACATATAATTACTGTTTATCCTTGACGTCAAAATTCAAAATCCCTGAGTTGGATCCAGCGTGAGAGACTAGAATAAACAATGATCTGTGGAGGCTAAATTGTAGGTTGTATGACGGTAAATGCAGCAATTACTTGAAGCGGCAGCCTATTTGACACAGGCAGACGAAGGGACATGAGTCACATGTCTGAGTCGGCACCGGTCCCCCACTATTGTTCTGCCGCCATTCTGCAGCTTTCTGTTAGCTCACCTTACCAACTAAGTCTTGCCTTGGTCTGCAAGTTTTTGTCTCCAGGAAGTGAGGGATGTAAGTCAAAGTGTTTGATGTGACACCAAAAGCCCAGGTTCAATTCTTGCTGAAAGAATTAATGTTAGTTGATGATATATTAGATATATTTTTTAATGATATATGGAATAAATGAATTTATGGATAATATTTTGAGAATAGGTTGGGTTTTGGATGATAATTGGTTGAAATAGGTACCCAGAACCCATCCTTGTCACAAGAGCCCACTGTGATGAAGATTGGGTCACTATGTGTTTGGCCTTGGTTATGATCATTGGTTTGACGGTACCACACCAGTGCTCGTAGGCTAACCAAATGTTTAAGGCCTCCAACACTTTGGAATTTCCTCACACATCCAGCTGTGCTGCCGTGATATAAATGGAATATTGTTCAAAGTGGCTTCCACACAACCCACTCAGGTTCTGAGCATCTTTGCTTGTTTTTTTAGCTCAGTAAATGAAGGAACCCGTGAACATCTGGGTTCGACTAGGTCCTGATCAACCTATGCTTGCCAAAGAAGGCGACTATGCTTGTCATAAGAGGCCACTAACAGGATCGGGTGGTCAGGCTTGTGTTGATCGATGCTCATAATGTCCATCACTGGATTGTCTGGTCCTGACTGATTATATACAGACTGCTATCATATGGCTAGAATATTGCTGAATGCTGCGTTAAACAACAAACAACAAACAAACAAACAAACAGTAAATGAAGATAGGTTGACCTTGTGTGACCGGTCTGTGTCTGACACTGTACCCTGACGTTAGATCATTGTTTACACTGCCCACCACGGGTTTGTTTGCACGGGTTTGTTTGTTTGTTTGTTTGTTTGTTTGTTTGTTTAACGCCGCATTCAGCAATATTACAGCTATATGGCAGCATTCTGTAAATAATCGAGTCTGGACCAGACAATTCAGTGACTGACATCATGAGCATCGATCTACTCAATTGGAATACGATGACTTGCATCAACCAAGTCAATGAGTCTGACCACCCAATCCCATTAGTCACCTCTTACGACAAGCATAGTTGCCTTTTACGGCAAGAATGGGTTGCTGAAGGCCTATTCTACCCCGGATCTTCACGGGTGACCACCACTGGTGCCCGGTCTGACTCACTCACGAGACTGTTGCATAAAACAGCATTCTCTCACTCACCCACAATGTCCTCAGAGACTTCAGGTCATAGGAGACCAGTTTAATGCAAGATATCAGTCCGTACTGTACATTCAGCAGTTTTATGTAAACGTCAACATAAGCAGAACTTTTGCATTATCAGAGCTCCAGATGAGCTGCGTATCTGCGTGAAATAGGCATCAGAATTGCAGAAATACCCAGTAAAATAAAATCCAAGTGTATCAAATACCCAAAGAAAATTACAGATATGCTACAAAAATAAAACTTGTGCGTATCATCAAAATATTGTGCAAATCAGCAACTTATTTTGAAATTATAAACGGGTATTCCATCAACTTTGCCAAACTCCACGATGACAGTTACATCATGATCATTTGCCATCACACTTTCTTGTGGAAGTATTGTGGTATTTTTGAGTCCTTTAAAGCTCTCGAACCCACACGACACCAGTTTGCAGGGACTAGATGATGAGTGTTTTTAAATATTTAACTAAAATACCCACATGTGTAAAAACTAGTGGGTAACAGAAATTTGAATACCCAGATAGAATTACTGATACCCAATGATTTTAAAATGCATAGGTAAAATACCCACAACACAAAAGCTTATCTGGAGCTCTGCATTATGAAGAAACTGTCACGTTGTATTGGAAGTATTTTCTCTACCGACGTTGTTCGTTGAACCTTGAGCAAACATCCCAGTAATTTGTCATGTGTTTCTGCAGTTAATGAAGTAAGGAGCACTCTGCAGCAACCAGGATCAATAGAGTTGCACCTCGAATCATGGACTCACAGAAGTTATAATTCAAAATTAGATAAACTATTGATAATCATTGGCAAATGAAGATAAAACATTATAGGCCATACAAGCAAATAATAGAATTTCTTCCTCATAAGTTGGACATGAAAATGAAGAAGTTATCGTGTTTGTACTCCGCCCATCAATTTCATGCTCTCCATGTCAGTCCGGCGTAATCACTTGCGATCAGAGAGGATGCTGCCCGAATTATAGGTGACCTTGAGGTCACCACACATTCATTCCTCAACACAAATTTCCCAGCAAGCTTTGTAGAGCTGTCAAAACATTTCAATCAATTGAATGAAGGTATTGATGAGTCATTGGAGGAAAACATTCACTTGTAGATTCTGTCCCAAAAAGATGAAAAATGTATTTGACACATTTTCAAAACTGTTATGTTAAAACCTAAATGCATTTAATGAACTTTTTTTCTTATCCAATGGTGTTGAGTACAGTAATTGTTGTTTCCTTTGAAAAAACTATCAAGGAAGATCATTAGGAAACAATTTTGTGAAATTTGTCTTTTATTTGAAAAAATAGCTTGTTTAAATTTGGGTTTTCAAATTTGTTCAACAATCACACGTTGAAAATTACAAGAACATGTTTACCCTTGACGATATATTTTTATTATGTTGAAAGCATTTGAAGTGTTTCCTTGCGATGTTTGTGCAACAAGGAAGATACATATTGCAGTCTGTATGCCACCTTCCTGTATACACATGATAAACATATTCTTGCTAGACAAACAGAACCCAAATCATACATAATTCCTACAGATATCACCACCTTGACATGCAGCAAGTGGAAGCTTCTCCCACGATCTGCAACACCCTGTCTACATGTGCTGGTGTTCTTCTCAAGTGAGACTGCAATGCATTTCAAATTGGAATTATTCAGGGTTTAGGAAAACAAAAGATTTCGATCTGGAGCCAGAATAAACAGTTATTTCCTGACAATGAGTATGAGTGAGAAATCTTATTAAGCCGAAATTTCTTGAAGGGCACAGTCTGTCAACATTACATTGGCATCGACCAATGCCGTGCATTGATAGACGCTCGACGTTTCTCCCCGGAGAGTTCTTTGCCTCATTCTTTGCCGATTCTTCTCATATCCTCGCAGTTTGTTGGCAACTGTGAAATCCTTTCGTTACAGTTATGCTCGGAGGATTTAGCAGCAAAATATTATGGCTATAAAACTGTATGTGATGGATTGAGAGTGATGAAAGTAATATCTTGTGGTCTAATGTACATTATGGCCGCTGAGGCATGGCAAGCAGGGCAATATACAGCGCTCCTAGCGGATAACCTGTGGAGGGGCTGTGACGCGGGGAACAACTGGGGATGTAATGGACACTGGAATGGGCTGTGTTGGGAATATTGCATTCCGTTTCATGCACACTTCTTTCTGTGTCAGATTTATGTCTTACTCATAGTTTGCATCCAATGATAATAATAATAATAATAATAATAATAGGTTCTTTTGTTGTTTAACATCTCACACAGCAATATTCCAACCATAAGCTGCTGGTCTGTACATAATTGAATCTGGACCAGACAATCCAGTGATTGACATCATGAACATCGATCTATGCAACTGGGATACAATGACATGTTTCAAGCAAGTCAGCGAGTCTCTTCTCCCCTTACGACGAGCATGTGTTGCTGAAGACCAATTCTAACCCAGATCTTCACAGGGGGAGATAAGCTTTGATTGCTGAAGACTGATTCTAAGCCGGTTCTTCACTGGGGAATAATAACAGGTGACTTATGAATCATAACGTTCCACTCCATGTTAACCCTGGACAGATCAGTGTGCATTCAGTT